TCCGCAAGATGATGCTCTATCCACTGAACCAAACCAGCTAGGGCTGTACCTGTTCTTCTTTAAATGAAATTTATTGGGGTGACATTGGTTAATAAGATTATAGTGTACATTTCTATGACACATGGTCTGTATACTGTGTTGTATGTCCACCACTCAAGTCAAATCTCCTGTCAGCATATATTGGACCCTCTTTATCCTTTACTGCCTCCCTCTCCCATTCCCTCGGGAAACCACCATACTGTTGTTTGTGTCCATGAGCTTTTGTTTGTTCACTTGTTGCTTTCAGTTTTATAACCCACATATGAGTGGAATCATGATTCTTAGCTTTTTCTGACTTATTTCACTTCACATGATATTCATGTTGTTGCAAATGCAGTATTTCATCCTTTGTTATGGCTGAGTGGTGTTCCATTGTATCTATACCACATCTCCTTTTATCTGATCATCTATTGAAGACACTTTGGTTGTTTCCATGTCTTGGCCACTGTGAATAAGGCTGCAATGAACATAGGGGTGCATATATCTCTATGAACCAATGTTTTCAAGTTTTTCAGTTAGATACCCAGAAGAGGGGCTGCTGGGTCATGTGGTAACTCTATTCTTAAGTTTTTGAGGAGCCTGCATACTGATTTCCCTAGTGGCTGTGCCAGTTTACATTCCCACCCGTAGCGAACGAAGGTTCTTTTCTCCCCACAACCTCTCCAGCACTTGTTATTGCCTGTCTGTTGACAAGAGCCATTCTAACAGGTGCGAGGTGGTATCTCATTGTAGTTTTGATTTGTTTTTCCCTAATAGCTAGAGAAGTTGAGTATCGAAGAAAAGGGATTTTGAAGTTGTGAATGTGGCCTTGGATTACGAGCATAAGAACAATGGGTGATGGCAGCATACTGAGCTGGAAGAAGCCCGAGACTGAGAACTTTGCGGAGCACAGACTCACCCACCCCTTCGTCAGTCTAGCTCTGGGTTTCGCACAAGATGGAAATACACTTCTAGCTATGATAAGCACTGTTATTCATAGTTTTTCTATTCTTTATAGCTGAGCCTAATCCTAAGGAACACAGGAGAGTTTTGTTGGGTTTACCATTTTAGTCCAACAGTGAATTTTCCTAAGCATTTTGGTGACACGATTCTACTACCTTCCAGGTTGCACTGTTATAGTTGAAAAGTCTGCTGTCCAAAGTTCTTCCTAAGTGATGGCTGCTTCCTCTCTGTTCTGCAATTTCTTTTCAAGATGCGGAGACGGGGTTTCTTTCTGTTTCTATTGGTGGGTTTATGATAACCTGCTTTTGTGGCTTGAGGACTTCCCATTGCTCTGAAAACTTCTCATCCCTTCTTCACACATGGCCTCTCACATTCAGTTCATGCCTAGGCTTTTGAAAGCTCAAGTGAGTTCTGCTCTCATCTGACCGAGAAGGAAAAGCCGGGCAAACTTTTCCTGAACCGACAAGAGAGCTGAACTTGTAAGGCAACCAAGTGCCCTTGAGATCTGAGCACTGGCTCACCCCCTCACAGACAGGGAGGAAGAGACGCAGCACGACAAACAGGTCGGCACGAACCACTCAGCTAAGAGTTAGACAAGTTGTCAAAGGTCAGTGCAGGCTAGCGTGACAGCACAAAACTCCCGAGACGCCAAGCCACAAGAGGCGTGTTCACACCCACTTGCAATCTCCTCTCCAGGGGCTCATGAGAAAGATTGGGGCTTGGGGGTCTCCCTCGGTGAGAGCCTGGAGAAAGGAAGTGGGAAAGAGGCCTTCATCCTCTGTAGAACAAGCATCAAGCCCCGGGGGGAGGGGCACCAAGCCCTGATGCCCAGAGCGGAGGGGAGGACCCATCGGAGCTAAGGTAGTGAACATGAAAGCGCTCTCTAGCTGCCTGGAACAGTGTGATGGCTGGCGCTCCAGCAGTCATCTGGGCCACACGATGACAGAAGTGGGAAGCCGTGAACTGGGATGGTGGGATGGGGAGTAGGAACCGAGTCCCGATGATGAACCACGCCAGCCCTGAAATGCCTATCTCTGAACTTTTTTAGTGAAAGATAATAAACTACTATTTTGCTTAAGCCACTCTGATTTTTTAAAATCTATTATTGATTTTCTTACAGAGAGGAAGGGAGAGGGATAGAGAGTTAGAAACATTGACGATGAGGGAGACACATCAATTAGCTGCCTCTTGCACACCCCCTACTGGGGATGTGCCTGCAACCAAGGTACATGCCCTTGACCAGAATCGAACCTGGGACCCTTCAGCCCGCAGGCCGACACTCTATCCACTGAGCCAAGCCGGTTAGGGCTGATTTTGTTATGTTTAGCCAACTAATTCTAACTGAATCAGAGCTAGGCATACACTCATGTATAGAGGATCCTCTTTCCCTGGGACCCTCCTAGAACATAAAGCCTGTATGTAAACCAAGATTCAGCTAGACCAAAAGGCAACCTTGTGTTTCCATGGGTAGACCCTCTTTAAAAATAGCAGCTGCTATAAAATTAAAACATTATTCTAGGCTAAAATTACTTTAGTGTGAAAGATATTAACAGGATAAAAGATATTACCTTTCGAGTATTGAGGGGTGAGGATGAGGAGTCTAAAAACTAACGGCCTCTTAGAATGCCACACCCCACACCCCCACTTGATTAGGACATAGAAGTGATTGAAGCTCATCCAAAGATAAACCAGGTAAATTGCTCCCTCTAGTGGTCAGTTTAGCGACCTGAGGGTTCTGCTTTTTCTTGGGGACAAAACCCAAACAAATAAAAATAAAAAAAACCAACAAAAAAGGAAAAAACAACAACAGCAAAAGATTGCGTTTGGACATTTATAACTTATTTTTAAAACTATTTTTCTTTAAAAAGTGACTTTGTGTTCCTTCTATTTAATAATAGTGCAGTTACTGTGGAATGAATGGCAGTTCTTTCATACATGGCTAATGGTTTCTGTTATAATTATTTTATAAAAAATTTAAAAGTTGCCCTTGTATAAATGGCGTCTACATAAATTGGCTTTTGTAATTCATATAAAAATGAAAATTGCGTGTTTATTGTATAAATAATTGGTGTCTATATTAATTGGTTTTTGTAATCCATCTAAAATTGAAAATCAGTGCTATCATTCCACTTGGGTCTTTTGGTAAATTTTTTCAAGTATAATATTTCTATAATAATTCTTCATATAATTGAGTGGATTATTGATCATAACCTAGTCATATTTTATAAGATTATTAATAAACTTTAGATTAATGCAATACTGGGGCAATAAATATCTCTAAATATTTTTTCAAATACATACATTTTTATTGATTTCAGAGAGGAAGAGAGAGGAGAGAGAGATAGAAACATCAATGATTAGAGAGAATCATTGATTGGCTGCCTTCTGCATGCCCCTACTGGGGATTAAGTCTGGAACCGGGGCATGTACCCTGACTGGGAATCAAACCTTGACCTCCTGGTTCATAGGTCGATGCTCAACCACTGAGCCACACCAGCCGGGCAGATCTTAGCAACTTTCAAACATTGTTACGTATAGTTGCCATGGTGTACTGAAAGTTTTAAAAAATATATACATTTATCCTCATTTATGTCCCATTATTCTATGTTATACTTCAAGAACATCTCTTATTTCACCCAGCTGGTGTGGCTCAGTAGTTTAGCATTGACCTATGTATGAACCAGGAGGTCATGGTTAGATTCCCTGTCAGGGCACATGCTCAGGTTGTGGGCTCGATCCCCAGTAGGGGGATTGCAGGAGGCAGTAGATTAATGATTCTCTCTAATCATTGATGTTTCTATCTCTCGCCCTCTCCCTTCCTCTCTGAAATCAATTTTTAAAAATTTAAGAAAGAGAAAAAAAATCTCTTATTTCTAGATTATTTGCAGGTTGGATTTCTATGACTTGTCCTCCACTCTACTTCTGAGTTCTTCAAAATGTCTTTATTCATTTTGCATTTGGGAGTATTTCTGATGTGAATCTTCTCTCTGCTCATTAGAGTTTTCACACCATCAAAGCTGTCATCTATTGCTTCTAGAATGGAACCTACTGAGTTTCCCCCCTTTTTTTCATCACTGTGCTGTAATGACATAGCACCCTGTTTTCTTTCTTTCTTACTTTTTGAAATCTAAGTCTATTCTTGTTTGATGGTGGCTATATCCTCTCAACGTGTTTCTGGGTTTCCTATACCATGGCCATGTCTGGTACAGAATGCTGAGGGCAAGTGCCGGGTGTGGGCCAGCCTAGTGATGAGGAGGGGGTGGGCCTCATATCAGAAAAAGCCAAGGGCCCTAGCCAGCGTGGCTCAGTGGATAGAGTGTCGGCCTGCGGACTGAAGGATCACAGGTTTGATTCAGGTCAAGGGCATATGCCTGGGTTGTGGGCTCGATCCCCAGTAGGCAGCCGATCAATGATTCTCTCTCATGATTCTCTCTCATCATTGATGTTTCTATCTCTCTCACTCCCTCTCCCTTCCTCTCTGAAATCAATTTTTTTAAAAAGCCACGGGAAACAGGGTGGGGTGAGTAGGGACAGGACGTAGACACACTGTGTGTGCGGTACCTCACTGAGCACTTTCCCCAGTCTCACACAACCCCTAGCAACGCAGTATCGAGACTCAACCCATCCGCGGTGTGCCTGGCCCTCTCACTTCTGAGGCCTGGATGGGATGGAGAGTGGGCCTCAGAGAGCAAGGTGGCTCTCTCGTCCACTGATAATGTTCACACCTCATTTTTGTTCACACAAAAATATTATTCTCAAGACAATATCATGAGATAGTTGAAAAGGTCATTGTCATTGTCCCCAGAGAACGGGAAGCTGGGGTTTGGATAAGCTCAGTTAAGACTGGAGCCCTGGTTCTGGACTCTTGCGTTGTCTCTGACGTCTGGAGCCGAGGCAACCAGTGATGGAAACAACAACAGACGCAGAACTTCCCAGCAGCAGCATCATATCCTGTTGTGCAACCTTCGGGAGCCATTGGGTCAGACTGTCACCTTATAGCTGTCCCAGGAGCCACGGTGGCAGTTGGAGTTGGTGCCCATGAAGGATGAGGAAGGCCAGGCTCTGGGGGCTGCTGTGGATGTCCTTCATCTTAGGTAAGGCGAGGAAGAGGAGGGAGCGGGTGAGGCCTCTGCCAGGAGCCCGGGAGATCCCAGCATGGAAAGGTTCCCCTTTTTTTTTTAAATCTCCAGGGCTCTGACCGCCCAAGTTAGAGCTGGCCAGTAGTTATGTCAGGCTGGCTTTGGCTACGCAAATTTAGCAGAACCAGGGGTGATAATCCAGGTGGGCAGATGGAGTTTGGCTGTCATGAGCCAGTGCATTTCATGTTTTTCAAAAGGAGAACTGGGAGAAGAGGGTTGTGTCCTTGCCGTGTCCTGTGGGGAAGGCTTGGGGTTAACTAAAAGCTCCTTCTAGCTTCTGTGTCCAGGGAACAGAGTCACTAGGCACCCATTCACACTTGGGCTGGGACTGCTGATTGAAACTAGTGTCAGTGGAACCCAAGGGAACTCAACCTTGGTATTATTGACACTTGGGGTAGGATGGTTCTTTGTTCACGGGACTGTTTTGTGCATTGTAGGTTGTTTAGCAGTATCTCTGGCCCCTACCAAAATGTCTCCAGGTATTGCCCAATGTCCCCAGGGGGGCAAAACTGCCCCCGGTAGAAATATAGCAATTGAAGTTCCATATCCCACTGACCTATCAACTTTAGCAAGAAAGAGCATTCTTCTCAACAGTTACAGTAGTCTCAGGGAGAATTCTAATGGGCTCAGCTCCAGTCATGTGCCCATTCCTAAACCAATCAGAGTGGCCAGGGTGATGAGATTCTTTGATGGGTAAGCCTGTGCCGTGTTCCATCCTTGAGCATGTGGGCAGCCCCAGGAGTAAAGCCACATAGGATCGGTCCCCTTAGAGAGAGGTGCTTTGCTACCGAGGAAGGCGCAGAGGAATACCAGCCAGTCAGATACCTATGTCCGCCATGTCCTCAAGATGGTTTCCTCGCTGTTTATTCAAGTTTCTCGAACTGATCTCTTTTCCTGACTTAGATGAAGTTCCTCTAGCTGTTGGAAGGAGTCCATCTCTGCTAGTAGAGTGTCTACACATCCACTCTTCACTCTGTTTGTCTTTCTCTATAATCTTTCCCTCCCATCATGCCCTCGTCATGCATGGTCTTAGCACGTGTCCCATGTTCTGTCTTTAATCAGGTATTTCTTCCTCCAAAAACAATCTATAATAATAAAAGCATAATATGCTAATTAGACCAGACATCCTTCCAGACCTCCTTCCTTCCGGACAAAGCCGCAGGGGGCGGGGGCCGAGGCAGAGGCTCCCAGCCACCGTGGCAGTGGCCCTTGCACGAATTCCGTGCATCAGGCCTCTAGTCATTCATAAAAGACCATTTGCAAGAACCATCTGCAGTCTAGCTGGTGTAGTTAAAAAACAAACAATCAAACAAAAACTACTCACAGTGAAAGTTGCCTCTTTGCTGGAGGCCATAAGGATCTTGTCTGAAAAAATGGGTGGTTGAACAAGAAAAAAAGGTGGTTCCTCTCTTTCTTTCCAAAGAGAGGAAAACTTACAGAGCCTACCTCTGATTCCCTGCTCACAGAACTCCAAGGTGCGCCCAGATCGGAGGAGATAAAGTATACTCGGACCGAGGGCCAGAGCCTGAATGAGAGCTGTCCCTTCAATGTGATGAAGTACTTCAGCACCCGGAAGGCGTGGCAGAGGCTGGGAGACAGAGGGGAGCTCCAGACACTGGCAATAACAGACAGGGTCTCCGGGCTGAGCTCCAAAGTCCACAAGGACAGGTGCTTCCTAGAAGACATCCCCACTGAAGGCATACTGCATGTCCATATGGCCGACCTGCGAGTGGAGGACTCTGGATTGTATCAGTGTGTGATCTACCAGCCTCCCAAAGACCCCATCCTGTTGCACCATCCCATACGCCTGGTGGTGACCAAGGGTGAGTGGCCTGGGGCTGGGAGGTGGAGCGGAGGAGCCAGGCTGGGTGGGGGCAGGGGCTGTGGTGATGGCACCTGCAGGGCTGTGGCCCAGGGTTTCCAGCAGCCTGTCTTTCTCCCAGAAGTTCCAGGTCTGTCATTTGAGGTCCCTGCGAGGCATTTGGTCCAACAGTGAGAAAGGGTTTCTATGTATAGGATTCCTCTTGGGTTGCAGAGTCTAATTTGGGGTGCTCTTATAGGAAGAGGGGTACAGTGAAAGGTGAGTGGTAGACTTGGGATAATTTCGTCTCATTCTTTAGAATTCATGTAGTCGGGACCCGCTCTCCCCCTCCCAAAGGTGCATTTGATAGCCCTCCTGTGTGCTTACAAAGCAGTGCTTCTTAGACCTCCCTGTGGGCACAGATCACCTGGGATCTTATTTCAAATACAGAGGATTCGACAGGTCTAGGGTGGGACCTAGATTCTGTATCTCTGATCTGCTTAGAGATGATGCTGATGCCGAGGTCCATGGCTCCCATTGTGGGTAGCAAGGCTCCTCAGTTCACTTTGCACCCCCTTTCACGAACAACACTGTCTCACTGAGTAGCAGTGGCCGTTCACTTACCTGTCTCCCCTATTTATCTCTGAGCAGTGTGAGGGAGGAGCCTGTGCCTGGCTCAGGTCTATATCCCCAGCAACTAATGTAGTCTGATTAATGCAGTGCGGGGCACACAGTAGGTCTGCAATAGATGTTGATCTGATGAATTAAGGAAGGCAGAGGAAAGAGAGACAGGTTCAAGTTCCCAGCACCTGGGGAAGCCTAAGCCTCAGGAAGACAAGTAACACATGCGATACATTAATAAACAATGACTTGTGAAGCAATATGACACAGGTACAAGTGAGTGCAAGGCAGAGGGAATGGTGAGAGCTGGAGGAATCAAGGATTATTCTCTTTTTTTAAAAAAAATATATTTTATTGGTTTTTTACAGAGAAGGGAGAGGGATAGAGAGTTAGAAACATCGATGAGAGAGATCGATCAGCTGCCTCCTGCACGCCCCCTACTGGGGATGTGCCCGAAACCAAGGTACATGCCCTTGACCGGAATCGAACCTGGGACCCTTCAGTCCGCAGGCTGACGCTCTATCCACTGAGCCAAACCAGTTCGGCTCAAGGATTATTCTTGAAGAAGGTGGGGGCATATGGATTGGTGAAGAATAGCAGGCAAGTGCATTTCCAATGACAGGAACAGAAAAGTCCTTCCTCCTTCTCTTTCTTCCTCCCTTCTTTTCTTTTTTCCGGTCTCTGACCCAGGCTGACCCTACACATTAAAAAAAAAAATCTTAGCAAAAGAAAACCTTGTGTCATGAATGTCAAAGTTCATTTCCCTCCTCAGATCCATTTACCCTATGATCCATCCATCCTTCCATCCATCCATCCATCCATCCATCCATCCATCCATCCATCCAATGTGTCTTCTTGCAGATCCTGCCCAGGATTCGGCTCAGAGGTCCACTCTTCCTCCTGTTACCACCAAGGCCCAGGGCAAGACTCATACCAGCCCCAGTCCTGTGACCCAGCTCCTGACCATGTCAACTGCCGGCCTCGGAGTCAACCCCACACACGGGACGGATGTCCTCAATATGGAGCCCAGGTCTCTCCGCGGGGGATGGGTGGCTGGCTTGGACCCCTAGGCCTTTGATTCCCAGTCCTTGTCCTGAGGGGATGTGGGGAGTGAGGGATGGGGGGGAGGGTGAAGCCCAGGAGCAGACTTGAGTCACTTCCCTCTGGTCGGACTTCCCAGGGAGGAGGGAGGAGGGAGGAGGAGGCTCTGGCCAGGCTGCCATCTCCCAGGTTCACCCTCGCTTTCCTGGGGAGCCAGAGGAGGGAGGGAAATGGCATCTTTGCTAAACTCTAATGCTTATTTCTGTTTGTACAAATTTTAACACAGTGATAATTCTAAACAGTTTCAGTAATTTTCCGTGCGAAAACTCGTCTCTGATGTTGCTACCTATTCTTCCTAATTATAATTGCAACGAATGTGTGCTTTTGTATCAGTGGGGAAACCGTAACTTACGTAATCACTGGCCCGTTTTTAGATGTTGAGATTGTTTCCTTTTTCTTTATAGTATTAACTCTGAGATGGACATACTTTTGCAGATGTCTTTTTCTTTTAAATCATTTATTCAAACAAAACTCCAGTTGAGAGAAATGCAACATTTGCACCGTTCTGTATGCCCAATGCTCCTCCAGAGATGGGGAGCGGTGTGACCATAAGGCACAGCGGGCGCGGTGGCTGCAGGTGGACTTCCGGGGACTTGGTGTTTCTGAACCGGTCCTGCCCACAGAGGTGCGAACTGGAATTTCCCTGTCACGGTGGGTGGTGAGCTCGGTGCTGGTAGTGCCTTTCCCTCTTGGATTGTTTCACTGGCACCAGCCTAAGTGCCTGGCATGTAACAGGTGCTCATTAAATCTTTAGGGGCTAAATAAACTAAGTGATCTAGTGAGAGTCAACATTTTTCTTTTTAAATATTTTTTATTTATCTTTGAGAGAGAGAGAGGAAGGAAGAGGGAGAGAGAAAAGAGAAATATGATTGTGAGAGTGGAACATTGATAGGCTGCCTACTGCAGGGCCTCAACAAGGATAGAGCCCTCAACCTGGGCATGTGCCCTGACCTGGCATTGAACCCACAACCTTTTGGTGCATGGGAGGATGCCCAACCAACTGAGCCACCCTGGCCAGGGCCAACATTTTTATTCACAACTTTTAATTTCTAGTATGTTAATGAGCGTGCATAACCTTTGCCCACATTCCTACGGGAGCCAGCACCTGCACCACTTTCATCTATTCACTTTATCTATAATTCATTATAAGCTAGTTTCTCAGAGTCCAGGCAGGAGAGCCGAAGCCACCGAGCTGTTTGAAAACCAGGCAGTTCAGTACAGGGAGCGGTTTGCCCAGGTGACGGCGCTGAGTCTGGGGGCGGAGGGAGAGGCCCCTCGGAGGAAGCCACTTGTCTCCCTGTTGGGGGTGGGCTCCCCAGAAGCAGGCTGTGGGGAAAGTCTGTGCAGAAGATTTAGGAAGCTGCCGCAGATAAACCCATTAGGGAAGTGGGACCGGGGTGAGGGCAGCCTAGCAAAGGCTGTGGTAACCAAGTTGAATACCCAGAGGGGGGCGGTGGGGTGGAGAGAGGGGTGGAACTCTGGCTCAGCCCTGCAGAGGGTCCTGGGACCCACAGGTCACACCTAGAGTTGTCTGTACCAGAGCCAGAGAGCTGGAGTATTTTTGTTCCGGAATTTCCAGTCCCCGGTGAGGGAGGCCCATGGACTCCCAGGCACAGGCCTCAGGGAGGAGGGCCAGAGAGGCGCTGGCTGGGCTGGCTGGCCGCAGCCCCATGCCCTCCAGCCACCAGCTCCCCTGGTGTCTGAACTCGACCAGGTCACCTTCCACATGTTGTTTCCGGTGATTCAGGACAGTTTCACGGGCAGGGGGTGGATGAGGAGGCCGCAGGTTTGCTTCCCACTTTCTAGAGCCATGATGTCATGGGTCACCTTGCTAGTTTGTACATTCGGTTTTTAGTTCTGTGTAGGCAAATGCCAATTCTAGACTGACGGCTTTGTTTTATTCCTTACTTGTGCCTGAGTCTATTTCCTGGTGACTTTTCAGTTACTTAAAAATGTCAAATTTAAATTTTAAATTCTCAGGTAACATTAGATCTGCCTCTGGATTTCAGTGTTTCCCTGCTACCTTTTCTCCTGTGGCTCCGTGTCTTATCACGCAGGCTACTTGTGCTGTAATCTATTCCCATGTCTACTGAGTGTAGACAGGCCAAGTTCCTCACTCAGTTCTATCCATTTCTCGTGCTATCTAATGACATTTACCCAGGAGATAAGTTTTGCTAAAAATCTCTACAAATTCATGATGGGATTTTGATAAGAATTGGATTCTTCTCGGCTGATAGAGGAGGAAACTGAAGCCAAAGAGGCGAGGGACGTTTTGCGGAAGTAGGTCCTGATTCTGAGAACAGACACTGGGCTTCCTGGCTGGGGCCGCTCTCGCTAGTCATCACAGCGGAGGAAGAGGAGCTTGCTCAACCTGCCTTTCCCCTCGTTGCCTCTCCTGGCCCCGTGTTCTCTACTAAACCTACTTCAGCAGATTTAGGCCATGGGACAAACTAAATGCACAGAGGCAGCCAGTGTGGGCAAAGGCGCTGGGAGACCCCACGCTGATAAAATAGCGTGTGAAGAACCTTTGTGGAGTAAAGCTCAAGTGTGAGGGGTGTCATGGCCAGCAGCAGCGTTAAATCTCCTCTCTCCCTCCCCCCGCCCCCCAGGATCTCCGTGATCAGCATCGTCACGATCGTGGTGTGTGGAATCCTCAGTAAGAGCCTGGTCTTCACTTTCCTGTTGATCGCCACACAGAGGTCATTTGGCCGCTAAGTCCATGACCCCCTGAGAATGCCCTGCGACCTCCATCCTCGTCCATCTGGCAGTTGTGCCAGAAGAAGCGTGTGAAAGCGGAGGCCAGGTGGGTGGGGAGGGCAAGGACTGAGTTGAATCTGTGACACGGGTTGTTTCTAAGGCTCAGGACCCCCCTTGCTGGCCCTGCTGATTCCCCTCATGTCACTAATAATCGTGGGTGTGTGCTCTGCCCCATCAGAGGAGAAGATACAGCCCCTGACGTGCCCTGGGCCTCCATCCACCCAGCGGCCCGGGGTTTGCATTACATAAAGACAGAGTCCAATGCTTTTTTTTTTTTTTAGTTTAATGTATTTTAATAGCAAACTTACCGGAACAGCACAGAAGACAGACAACATTAAAAACATGTACTTGCACTTGGCTGTTTTGGCTCAGTGGATAGAGAGTTGGCCTGTGGACTGAAGGTCCCAGGTTCGATTCTGGTCAAGGGCATGTACCTTGGTTGGAGGCACATCCCCAGTGGGGTGTGTGCAGGGGGGAGCTAATCGATGTCTCTCTCTCATCGATGTTTCTAACTCTCTATCTCTCTCCTTGCCTTTCTGTAAAAAATCAATAAAAATATATTTTAAAACAAACAAACAAAAAACATGTACTTGCATGTAGGACAACTAAGTTAGAAAAGTATAATGAATGGATGGAATCTACTGTTTGATAAAAATGCTACAAACACCATTTCGTTGCCATCAATAAGGAATTGACTTGTTTTTTAAAAAAATCCAATTGCTGACATTGCCTAGAAAAATTTAACAGGTTTATTTATATTGTTATAAAGGGGAACTGCTGAAACTTGTTCACGGAAACATTTGACTTGCATTCATGCTTTATGTCCCCGCATTTATATTAAAAACATTCACACACAAATGAAAATGGAAAAACTGCCAATACCTGGTTTCTGTCCCCTATTTTCAACTTGCGATCATATACTTAAGTACCTTTTGACCCCATGGTAAAAAAACAAACAAAACAACTCTAATGTTCAGAACTACCAATAACAGGAAGAAGAGAAATCTTTTAAAAGAATGAAATGTTTCCCAGCATAGTGGATCTTAAGCACGTTCTCCAGGTGTGCGGCGGGCTGGCTGGATGTCTTTGGGCGTAACTGTTACACGTTTGGCATGAAGAGCACACAGGTTGGGGTCTTCACAAAGGCCACCCAGACAGGCCTCCCTTGCCTCCCGCAAAGCACCAATCGCTGCACTTTGGAGCGCAGGTCTGTGTTGAAGTCCTGAGCCATTTCTCGCACCAGACGCTGGGAGGGAAGGTTGTGAATCAGAAGTTCAGTGGACTTCAGACAATGTCTAATTTCATGACCAGGCCTGTAAAGATGATGTTTCTTCACTCATCCAGTAGAGGGCGCACGCTTTCGAGCGGCTTTGGTAGCCAGTTGCTTCCTGGGTGCTTTACCCCCAGTGGATTTGCAGGCAGTCTGCTTTGTAGGAGTCATGGAAGAGAGACGCTTTACTTACCCCCCTTCTCCTTCGGCTGGAGCTCGGGGAGCTGGAGGCGGCGCAGGCGTTAGAGAGCGAAGGGTGGCTGCGAACAGCCCAATGCTTTTCACTGTCACTCGCTGTCCTGTGGGGTCATGAGGTACAGAGGACACAGCTGCTAAATCTGCCTTGGTCCTTGCCCTGGACCACTGCCCTGGGGCCGGACCCGGGCAGAGCGGCACCACGGAAGCATCCTGCTCTCCCAGCCACGGCCACGGGGGCCTTCCTTTCTTCTAGAATCAGACTCTTGGGTTCCTTCCATCCGCTGCGGCCTTTCCAACGCTCCCAGGAAAGGGTGTTGAAAGCCACGGAATGGGGAGAACACAGGACGCCACGGGGAGAATTCCCCTTTGGCCAAGAGAAACCAACGAACCAGAAGGCAGCCTCCTGGGACAGTACTGGGAGGATGAGAGAGGCTTCGAAGGACGAGGCTGGCAGAGAATGTCACTGACAGAGAATATCATGTGTCTATTGTGTGCATCATCCCTGGACCCTCAGAACAAGCCCGGGAAGGCAGGGCAGAGTGTGGCTGGAATGAGGCCACATGAGTAAAAGGTCATCCCTTGTTGGCAGGAACAAAAATTAAAGAGTCCCTTTCCTGAAGACTCAGCCCATAGAGAATAGAACAGCCAGGAGCTCTTCCTGGGATGCCTCCACGTGTCTCTTTCCCTTGTATCTCATAAGGGCAGGGATGGTGGCATGACAAGACCTCAGCATTAGGCTTCGGGAGGCTCTCCCCTCTGCGCACTCCCGGCTCCCCACTCTGCCTTCCTCTTCCTCTCTAGGTCTTCCCCTGAGAGTCCCCTTCAGCTCCCATGATCACCCCTGCAGCAGGTGTGCAGGCCCCCCTGTGACTTCCAAAATCCAACAGATTTAAATCAGGACTTTCCAATCTCCTACCTCTTTTGGCTCTAAAGGGGGAAGGGTCCCCCATTGGTGGGGAAAAAATGATGGGTCCTCCTACTCCAATTCAGCAATGGCCAAGGCTAATCCTATATAATAAAACGCTAATATGCAAATCGACCGAATGGCAGAATGACCAGAGGAATGACCAGTCTCTATGATGTGCACTGACCACCAGGGGGCAGACGCTCAACACAGGAGCTGCCCCCTAGTGGTCAGTGCGCTCCCACAGGGGGAGTGCTGCTCAGCCAGAAGCCAGGCTCATGGCTGGCGAGCACAGCGGAAGTGACAGGAGCCTCTCCCGCCTCCACTGCAGGCGGGCGGTTAAGGAGCAAGGGGTCCCGGACTGCAAGAGCCCCGGACTGCGAGAGGGATGTCTCACTGCCATCAGGGGATCGGGCCTAAGCTGGCAGGCGAACATCCCCTGAGGAGTCCTGGACTGCGAGAGGGCACAGCCCGGGCTGAGGGGACCCCCCCACTCCAGTGCATGAATTTCATGCGCTGGGCCTCTAGTTTCATATCAAATTCCCCAAGAACAAACACACCTTCCAGCTTGTGTTAGGAAAACATATTCCTACATTCAGCATGGTTCCCCCACTGCTGTGGGAAAAAAGACACCTGAGTGCTGAGGTACAGTCCTGCCCAACCCATCCTGATCACAGGGCCCTCATGCAAGGACTTCTGCATCAACCTGAGAGCAGCTGCTCCGTCTGATGCCTCCAGGAGGATGGCACTGACCCCAGAGAGACTCTCTCTCATCCCCCAATTTTGAGTCCATCAGAAGATGTGCAAAGGGAATTCTTGTCTCTGAGAAGCACTTCTTCCAGCAACTGTTCATCTCGGTGCATCTATTTTCCTCCCTAAGGGAGCCGAGCAGCTCAGAGGTAGTAACCACAAGACATGCAGTGTTTGCTTTCTGAGGTTGCTTGTCTGGTACCTGCAGGCCAGCAAGTCCAACGCTGTTCCTGTTCACGAAGGGACAAGGGAGGTGCCATTGCTAAGTGTTAACTAGGAGAAGCAGAACAAGTTAGTGAAGCATTTCTCAAACTCTAGTCCTCCTGCATCAGTGTCTCCTGTAACATCCTATATAATAAAGAGGTAATATGCAAATTGACCACCACACCCTCATAAGATGGCTGCCTACGACCAGGCCAGCAGGGGAGTTAGTGAGGAACAACCAAACGACTGAACAAGCAGGATGCATGGGGCAACCAGGCCAGCAGGAGGGTTAGTGAGGAATGACCAAATGACTGTACAAGCAGGCTGTGTGGGGTGACCAGGCCAGCATGGGGGATGTTGGGGGCGACCAGGCCAATAGGGGGGTGCAGTTGGGGGTGACCAGGCCGGCGGGGGGGGGGTAGTTAGTGGCAACCAGGCCAACTGAGGGGGGCAGTTAGGAGGGACCAGGCTGGCAGGGGGGCCATCAGGCCGGCATGCAGAGGCAATGAGGGGCAATCAGGCCAACGGGGGGGGGGCAATCAGGCTGGCTGGGGGGGGGGGGCAGTTAGGGATGACCAGGCAGGCAAGCAGGTGAGCAATTAGGAGCCAGTGGTCCAGGATTGTGAGATCGGGCCTAAACCGGGGATCGGGCCTAAACCGGCAGTCGGACATCCCCCAAAGGGTCCCAGATTGGAGAGGGTGAAGGCTGGGCTGAGGGAACCCCCCCTCCCCGTGCACGAATTTCATGCATCAAACCTCTAGTTTGTTTATAAAGCAGATTCCAGGGCCCCTCCGTACCTACTGCATCCCAGCACGTGCGGCTCTCTTTTGGTGGTTCTCAAGCTTGTTTGTGAGATAGAGTTCCAAGAAGTCATCAAGCTTCTTACCAAACACCACGACACGTTCATAGTAGAGGTAACCAGCTACAGGAGTTCCTGTGCTTGTGTGCTTAACGTAATGATAGGTTACGTAGTGTTTAAGCCCAATATATTAAACTTGCCTGAGAGATCATGAACACTGAATTGGAAGACAAATGGTTGTGCTGGACACTCTTCCATTTGTGCCTGTAGGCCCCCTCTCCATCCTTCTCTCCCTGGCCAACTAGCTTCCAGTTGGACTTCACCCGTGGGCAGCATGAAAGCAGGGCAGAGGACGGGAAGAGAATGAGGGCAGGGGTTTTATCCTCTGGCCTCCTCTGTGGAATGGAGGCCCCTTCATGCCGCTGACCAGACAGCAGCTATCTCCAAGTTCAGGCAACTGCTCCATCCCCCTGCCCCTTTAGGCCTAGAGGTGGTGATGACTCACCACTGTCAGCAGCCTCAGGGTACTGCAGCATCCCTTACTGATTTCCCTAAATCCCACCACACTTTTGTCAAATGCGGCTCATTTACTCGGTGTCAGTGAGCCACATGTCTCCTGCTGGACATTGGCTGGCACAACAGTGCTATGTGGTTCATTACACAGGCCTTGGAAGTAAGCAACGCCCAGGGTGAACCCCAGCTCCACAACGTCCTTGAAGTATGTCTGACCTTGAAAGACTCCGTGCATCTCTCTGGGCCTCACCCTTGAGACACTCCTCATTGCCTCGTGGACCAAATAACCAACGCCAGTCATGCTTCTTGCTGCCAACAGCTGGATGCAAGCCCGGCTGTCTTGAACAGCAAAGGAATTGAGACAGAGGTCAGTGGCTCACAGACTCAATGAGAAGGCTGGAGGACCTGTTAGAAAACAGCAGAAGCCAAGAGAGTGTGGGCAAGAGGCCACAGCTGAGGTTAGAGCATGAGGTCGTCTAGTGGTGAGCTTGCCATTGATGCTGCAGCCCCTCCCCTGTACACTTGAAGCCACTCGAACCTGCCACCATGCTGTTCATGGGCTTTGTATGTGCACTCATCTCCAACTGGCCCCACGTCTTTCATCACAGGATCATGCGTTTGGCCAAGCTTAGGTCAAGTCCCAAGCCTGTGCCATAGGCGCCAAGGAGTGGAAGGGGGGGGGCAGCATTGCGTCCTAGTGAGACCCACACATTGGGGAATATCCCCCAAATAGAAAAGGCACTGGGGGCTGGAGACTCAAAAGATGACAGATATCCCTAAAGAGTCTCCCGAAGCTGGTAGGATTAAGTGAGATCACCTGAATAAAGCACTTGGTGCACGAGGGCCTTCAGTCCATGGCAGTAAGTCACTCCCAGCACTGTTACAACTGTGGCCTCCATGCCCAGTGTCTAGACTGGGGCTCCCAGAAGTGCTCACCTCAGACGCAGGCTGAGGACCCTGGAAAGTCTTGGGGCCCCTCTGACCTCATGCAGAGCTTTTCCAGGCATCACCATTGGGACCACTTGCCTCACAATCACCTGTGCTGCTTGTTAAAATGCAGATCCTGGGCCCTCTCTAGACTTCCTAAACTGGAGTCTCCGGGGGTGGAGCCCGCGCATGCATGTGTTTGCCAGCCTTCCCACACGATTCAGCCACATGCTCATACTTGAGAAGCGTGGGGGAGTGAGCTTAAACAAGGCATGTCATCAGGAAGGTCTGAACCAGACCCTGAAGGGCAAACCGTGAATGTACCAGAGGGGCTCGGGGAGGATGTGTCGGTGCCCTGAGGAAGTGAGTGGGGCAGAGGTGGGACATCCGGTGGGTGGGTCAGGGCTTGCTGTGGTGGAGAATGGGGAGTGCTGCCCCACAGGCTATGGCATAATGAGAGCGGGAAGGAAGATGTCACAGGGGCAGTGATCGCTCTTCTCCTTCTGCATTTCCCGAGCGGGTCCCTCTCATTGCATTTCCCTCTGGGTTTCTCAATTGCAAAGGAACAGCTAATCCTCTCAGAGAAGGTGGAAGACACCCACATGGGGCAACATCCTCCAGCAAGTGCTAGAGCCCTGGGGTGGCCAACGCCTGATGGATAGAATGGACAGGACGGGGCTCTGGGGGCGGCCATAGCTGCTGCTACTGCTGCTGCTCTGGGTCTCAGGTGAGGAGGGGAAGGGAGAGGGACGTAGATGGCCAAGGGGAGGTACCTCCTAAGAGGGTTTTCTCTCCCTCCTTTAGGGGGACTGGGATGGGATCCGGGTATGTGTTGGAGACAGGGATGGGGGAAGGAAGGAAATGAAGGCAGACTGTGCTGCCCGGCCCCGACCCAGCGGGGCTGGGTGGCCAGTGGATGCTGGAGGTTCCTCCAGCGCATCTCCAAGTGAGAAAATGATGTGAAGTCACCAAACAGCCTCTCCTCGCCGTGCGGACACCCTGGGAGATGAAAAGCAGTGCAAGGCACAGTCCCTCCTTAGAGGAACATTCGGGGGCTGAGGCAGACGGGCAAAGAGGTTCCGGAAGCAGACAGAGCTGGTTCTAATCCTGTTTCTGCCACTTTGTACAGATGTGACCGTAAGAAGTCCTCTGCCTCCTCGGAGCCTCAGTTCCTCATTTGTAAATAGCGCCTACTTTGGAGGGTTGTTCTAAGAGCCACACAGCCGATGGGTGTGAAACACTTGGTTCAGTGTTTAGGGCTTAGTAAGTGCTTAACGAAGCCCAGGCGGCTGCCCAGGACCATGACGCTGGAGATGGAACAGGTGTAGGGTGGTCAGTGGGCTGAGGGTTGCGGGGAGACTGAGGGTAGTACCAGCTGGAACTGCTCAGTAGACTCCTCTCTGGGACCTAATGGGGTGGATATGGGCGGGGAGGAGTGGAAGCACATCTGGCTTGGGGACCCCAGGGGGTAATACAAGGTACAGTGTCCCTGAAAGCAAGGTACATGCCTGGGAACCACAGGTAGAAAAGAACATGGGTGGCAAAACTGGTTCAGTTCTCTTTCTACTTGAAAAATAAAAAAGATTCTATTATGGAAATATTTCAATTTATAAAGTACAGTATAGAAAAAACAGTCACCATAAACTCATCTACTAGATTCAAACACTGAACCAGGATCGGTGCTTTGCCCTCTTGGCTCCATATGTGTGTATATTGCTAAAGACGCCGAGCCATCTCACGGAGCGCACGGAAATCCCAGATGACTCCCAAGGGCTTGAGGGAGCTACCAGGACGCCCGCCTGTGCCCTGGGCTCTGCGGAGCGGCCTGTGCCTGTGGGGACGGTGGGAGGAAGGCTGCTGAGTGAAGCTCTTCGCCCTCTCATTCTAGGACTCCGAGGCGAAGACGAGGAGCAAATGTGCCTGCTGGAAGGCAGCAACCTGACCATTTCCTGTTTGTACACCAGGCAGTACGCCTCCAGCCTGAAGGCCTGGCAGCGGGTGAGGGGCCCCGGCCCCCCGGAGACACTGGTGCGCACAGATACCAGAAACGCGGACCTGAACCTTGCCCAGGCCGGGAGATACCTGCTGGAGGACGACCCCACCGAGGTCACGTTCAGAGTCACCATGAGGGAGCTCCAGAGGCAGGACCTGGGGCTCTATCAGTGTGTGATTGACCTCTCACCCCAGAGCCCCGTTGTCCTGCCTCCTCGCATTCGGCTGGTACCATGTGAAGGTGAGCAGCCCAGACAGGGAAGGTTGTGGAGGCCGCGCTCCTGAGCCGCAGGCTGGCATGTCTGCCTCTGGGGGGCTTTGGAGAGAGAGCGCAGAGTCATGAAAAGCCCTCCATCCGAAATCAGAGCACATGGATCTTCTTGTCTCTCGCTTTGTGACTTTGAGAGCCATAGCTCCTTTCTCTGGACCCCAGTTTTCTCACCGGTTAAGGCAAGGAAGTTAGACTAGGTGATGTCAAAATTTCTCTCACTCTGAGCAGAGTGCCGCTAGGAGGACCGGGTACTGAACACCGGCTGCATGGCCAAGGTTATGGCTGTCTCCACTGTACACGGGAAGAAGGCTCAGGGAGGGCACGCGACTCACTGTGTCTTTCAGCCGATACATGGAGCGGCTGGGATCCGACAGAGACCCATTGGATCCGATGGTCCTTGGTGGATCCTGGAAGGGGCCCAGTGTGGCCAGCGAAACTGTTCCCTTTCTCAAGGGATTTACATAGTAGCAAACAAGGAATAGGTGCTAGACAGCCAGACGAAGGGCGTCTCACGTCCTTGAATTGCTTCTCATGAGTGGAGGCCTGCTAGTTCTCGCCCTCTCTTCTCAGAAAGCCTGTCTACCCACCTAACCCAATACTTCTGCCCCGAGCTCCCTAATAAACCTTCTCCCTTTGAACCAGAGAGTTGGAGAGGCCTCCACCACACAGGACCCTGCTCTCCACTTCCTGCAAATCCCAATATGTAAGTCCTAGAGGCCCAGCGCACGGAGTCATGCACATCGAAAGGAAATTAATTAGAAGGTGTCTGGCGGGGAAGGACTGGGGGAGATGGGCACAACATGCCCTGGAGCCAACCTCCCGCCATCCCTCCCCTGGCCCACCGAATGGGGCGAAGCTGGGACTCGAAGGAGCTGGAAGGGCGTCTGCGGAGTGAGCAGGGTCCCTCAGCCTGGCCTGTAGGGATCAGGCTGAAACCAGCAGTCGGACATCCCTGAGGGGTCCCGGAGTGTGAGAGGGCACTATGGAAATTCTGTCGCTTGGCAGCTCCTACATTGAACGTCGGCCCCCTAATGGTTGGTGTGCATCATACCTACTGTCCAGTCCGCTGGTGTCTTAGCCTTTTATATATATGGATTAGAGGCCCAGTGCACCAGAATTTGTGCACTCGGGGGGGTCCCTCAGCCCGGCCTGTGCACTCTCGCAGTCTGGGACCCCTCAGGGGATGACCACCTGCTGGCTTAGGCCCGCTCCCTGGGGGAGTGGGCCTAAGATGGCAATCAGACATCCCTCTGGCAGCCCGGCAGCCCTCAGGGGATGTCCACTTGCCAGCTGGGAGCAGGCCTAAACTGCAGTCGGACAACCTCTCCTTTTTTTCTTTTTTTTTTTATTCTGGGATTTATTTGCCTTCTATGCTGAGGAGGCAGGAGAGGCTCCCACCATCACTGCTGTATTGGCAGCCGTCAGCCTGGCTTCTGGCTTAGCAGAGCTCCTCCCATGTGAGAGTGCCCTGACCACCAGAGGGCAGCTCCTGCATTGAGCGTCTGCCCCCTGGTGGTCAGTGTGTGTCATAGTGACCAGTCATTCCCAGTCCTTCTGCTGTTAGGGTCAGTTTGCATATTACCCTGTTACTATATAGGATAGAGGCCTGGTGCATGGGTGGGGGCCGGCTGGTTTGCCCTGAAGAGTATCCCAGATCAGAGTGGGGGTCCCGCTTGGGTACCTGGCCAGCCTGGATGAGGGGATGATTTCTGTTTGCAGCTAGTCACACCCCCTTCAGGGTGGGGGTCCCCACCGGGGTGCTTGGCCAGTCTGGGTGAGGGTCTGAGGGCCATTTTCAGGCTGGCGGGTGACTGAAGCTCCCAACCTCTCCTTTTTTCCTTTTTTTTTTTTTTTATTCTGGGATTTATTTACCTTCTATGGCTGTCAATGGAGCTGAGAGCCGGCTTTAGCTCTGAGGCTTGGCTCCAGCTCTGAGGCCTCGGCTGCTGAAAGCTGGTTTCTGGGCTTTGTTTAGCTTCTATAATTGCAACATAGTTGCTTAGAGTGCAGTTCAGAGCTGGGCAGAGGCAGGCAGGCAACCTTGGCTTCCTCCATCACTGGAGCAAGCAAGCCTCCTGTTCGCTTCAGCTGCCTGGCTGCCGGCCACCATCTTGGTTGGCAGTTAATTTGCATATCGCCCTGATTAGCCAATGGGAAGCATGTCGGAGGTACGGTTAATTGCCATGTTTGTCTATTATTAGATAGGATTAGGCCAGGGTGGGGCTAGAGTCAAACTTCATAGTAATGTCTGGAAATAAAGAGTTGACCAAGCAAAAGGAAGGTACTATAGACAGGAATGGAAGGAAGCTACTGAACCCACATAATAGGAAAACAGCCCCCAGGCCTTTAGGAACACCCAGGGATGCCCAGAAATGAAGAGACTGGTTACAAGTGATTTATGCAGTTGGTGAAGCAGTTCCACTGTCCTCTCTACACAGGAGCAATTTAGTAATTTGGTCTTAGTACCCGTACACGTGGAAGTGCTGAAATGGTTGCTGGTTGCAAAGGTAAGTGGTGCCGTCACAGGATAATAAAAGGTGCACGGGCCTGTTTTCCACTCCTCCTCAACCCAGAACCTACTCAGTGACCTTGAGAGTGTCCCTCCTCCTCCTCCAGGCTTCCTCCATAGTGAAGTTCAATGGCTCCAATTCTCTGGGGTTCTCTATGTTTAAGTTCAGAGAAATGGGCTTTATTTACACCTTTGGCAACGTTTGCCCACTCCAGTAGACAGCTTGGGCCCACCAGGTCTGACTCCATCAATTAATAGCTGCCTTGTTCTTTAATGCAAATCCTAATAAAGACAATAAGGGATTATTGGGAATGACTGAACCCATATTATTGAATGAGAATGATATCAAGTTTAATACAGGATAAATGTGAACCTAATTATTTTCATCAATCCACAAATAGCGGGCAGTGGAGTTTTCACAGCAGCTTCCTATTCTATCTGCAGTAATTGGAGAAAACTTTGGCTGCTGTAGCTAAGGACACTGAGTCTAGCACAGCTTGTTCCTGCCTGAAGGACTTACTGGTCTCCCAGGGGAAACAAGAGCACAATCCTCTGTAAGGACACCTGTGGTAGCATGAGGTGGCCTGGGAGCGGGTGGCAGCCAGGTACCGTTTTCAGTCAGGTTAAAACAAATGAATGGAGACTTCTTCCTGGAGTGGTGTTAGGCCTGCCCCGGTAAATGGACTTACCCTCGATGAACTCTGGGGAATCCGTCGGCGTCTCCCTCCACTTTTCCAGGTGGAGGAGATCATGGCAGCAGATGCCCACAGAGAGAAACTTACACAATGTCATGCTGTTCGGAGGTGATGGATGTTGTCCACCCAACCCTGCCTTAGGAAGAGAGACCTGAAATGGGAACTTAGGGAGAGAAGGGGGCGTGGGAGGGAGGAGAAGGGTCAGAAGTGAGAGCAGGGCTTGTGGCCTGGTGAGTGGGCCACTTGACTGTGAAGGGCTGGGTGGACCTGGGAGCCAAGAGCTAAAAGATTAGGCCAGGCTCCCTGGACAAGACTCTGAAGACTGAGACCAGCAAATGTCACAGAAATACACGCCAAGGAGACAGGAGACATGGGACCCAGTGTGGCTCTGCTGATGTCTACTGAGTGGCCTTGGACACTCCCTGTCCACCCTGTTCCTTAGGGCTTAGATTGGATGGTATTGAATGCTTGCTTTCACCTTTGACCTTCTAGGACTCTGTGAATATTTATCCCCCACATATAGTACAGTCCCATAGCAATGAACTTGGGACATAGTTGCTCAGCCTGTGGAAGAAAAATGGTTCCAAATATCTTGGAGGTCCCTCTCCGGTTCCGGTTAAGTCAGACAGGTTGTCCAGCAGACTGGCAGCCTCGGGGAATGCAGTCCCATCTTCATCAAGCATTTTCTGGGCCCGTTAGGGGCCGGTGTCAGTCAAAGAGAACCAACCCTGAAGGGTAATCTGGATTCAACATCAGTTGGGTCTGAATGAGGGTCGCTGCCCAGAGGCCACAGCAAAGTAGAATGATACTTTGGGGTCATTAGCTGGGCCCTCGGCTCAGGCCTCACAGGTGGGCTCCACAGAGCCAGGCTAGACCACATGGAGGCCTGTCTCCTGCTCCAGGCAGGCGAGGGAGTCCTGAGCCCCCGCAGGCAGAAGGACTTTCACTTCTATTTGCCTTCTGAAGCCCTCACACAAGCCTTGAATGTTACTGCCTTAAGGCAGCACAAGTCCCATCAACCAGCCACAGAGGAAAGGAGCTGGGGTGGGGAGCTATGATTACAAAGGTGTTTCTACCCCTGATGACAGAGCATCACCTAGAAAACGTGGCCCAGGGGCGAATGGATTTGAGCAATCTTCCTTGGAGTTAAAAGAAGGGGATGGACAGAAATCCTCTGCACAGAGCTGCTGGGCCATGGGGCCCGGAGGGGTGTAGAGAGCACTACCTGGAGGAGGAGAAACTGTGAAGGTAGCAGAGGAGTAACACATGCAGAAGAGGAGTGGCCGCCACCAGGAGCAGGTGGGGACATGCACTCACCGAGTGTCAGCGACACATGGAGACAGTTGGGCTGAGTGGAGAGGAGATGGTGAGGCTAAAGCAGGACCGGTGGTGGATTCAGACTGTGAGAGCCTTGGGCGCCTGCAGCCTTGTGCACTTTGTTCTGTAGGCAATGGGAGCACGAAGGGCTTTCCCTGGAGCCTTGAGTGGGAGAGTGAGGGCTCAGTGCAGAGTGATTGATGCAGGAGCTGTGGGCAGGAGCTATGCAGAAGGGAGATATTAGGGGCTGGAGACCAGGTAGATCCCTTTAGGGTAGTGGTTCTCAACCTTCTGGCCCTTTATTTATTTATTTGTTTGTTTGTTTTTTATTTTTTTAATTAATTCTTTATTGTTCAGATTATTACAGTTGTTCTTCTTTTTTCCCCCCATAGCTCCCCTCCACCCCACCCTCTGCTCTTACCCCTCCCCCACTGTCCTCATCCATAGGTGCACGATTTTTGTCCAGTCTCTTCCACACCACCCACACCCCTTTCCCCACCCACCTGAGAAGAGTCAGTCCACTCGCTTTCTATGCCCAATTCTATTATATTCATCAGTTCACTCTATTCATCAGATTATTTATTCACTTGATTTTTAGATTCACTTGTTGATAGATGTGTATTTTTTGTTCATAATTTGTATCTTTCCCTTTTTCTTCTTCTTCCTCTTCTTAAAGGATACCTTTCAGCATTTCATATAATACTGGTTTGGTGGTGATGAACTCCTTTAGCTTCTTCTTATCTGTGAAGCTCGTTCTCTGACCTTCAATTCTGAATGATAGCTTTGCTGGGTAAAGTAATCTTGGTTGTAGGTTCTTGGTATTCATCACTTTGAATATTTCTTGCCACTCCCTTCTGGCCTGCATAGTTTCTGTTAAGAAATCAGCTGACAGTCGTATGGGTATTCCCTTGTAGGTAACTGACTTTTTTTTCTCTTGCTGCTTTTAAGATTCTCTCTTTGTCTTTTGCTCTTGGCAATTTAATTATGATGTGTCTTGGTGTGGTCCTCTTTGGATTCCTTTTGTTTGGGGTTCTCTGCGCTTCCCGGACTTGGAAGTCTATTTCTTTCACCAGGTAGGGGAAGTTTTCTGCCATTATTTCTTCAAATAGGTTTTCAATATCTTGCTCTCTCTCTTCTTCTGGCACCCCCATAATTCGTATGTTGGTACATTTGAAGTTGTCCCAGAGGCTCCTTACACTATCTTCGTAATTTTGGATTCTTTTTTCATTTTGCTTTTCCAGTTGGGTGTTTTTTGCTTCTTCGTATTTCAAATATTTGACTTTATTCTTTTGATCATCTAGTCTGCTGTTGGATCTCTGTATAATATTTTTTTATTTCAGTCAGTGTATGCTTAATTTCTAGTTGGTCCTTTTTCATAACCTCAAGGGTCTCACTAGATTTCTTGAGGGTTGCACTAAATTTATCAGCGGTTTCTAGAAAATTCTTGAAAAACCTTAAAGGTGTGGTTTTGAACTCTATATCCAGTAGTTTGCTTTCCTCCATTTCTGTCATTTGTGACCTGTTTCTTTGTCTCCACATTTTTTATGCTTCCCTGTGTTGATAGAGTGGCTTTCTGTTCTAGGTGTCCTATAGGGCCCAGTGGCTCAGCCTCCCCAGTTACCTGAGGTGGACACTCTTGGTGCACCCCTTTGTATGCTTTGTGCACAGTCTTGTTGTAGTCTTGTTGTAGTTAAGCCTTGATTGTTGTAGTTATCACTGGGAGGAATTGACCTCCAGGCCAAATTGGCTGTGAGAATCAGCTGTGTCTACAGTGGGAGAACTTCTGTGCTGGAGACACCCTTCTGGGGCAAAGACTTGCTTCAGCGGGGTTTTGGTGCTCACTGAGTCTGCTCCCTGAGTGTGTCCCTTATGGATCTGAGGAGTTGTAATCTGGATGGTCCCACTCTGATCACCGGGTACACTGGCTCTTGGATCTCTAAGGAGGTGCTAATTTAGCCTCTGCCTGAGGCTACCCAGCAGGAGCTATGGAGAGATCTGCAGGTTCCCCTTCCTTTTTTGGGGTACGGAGGTGCCCAGATGAGGCCCAGCTGTGAAGCAATGCAAGCTGCTGTGGGGCCTTGGGCCTTCTCTTGGAAGTTCTGGGTCTGTCTGGCCCAGCTGCAGTTTGTTAGGTAATTTTCAGATTGCAAAGGGCCAGGCCTTTCATATGCAAAAGCCTCTGCGCACAGCTTGGGTGGAGCGGGGTCTCAGAGAATCAACAGGGCAGAACAAACAACTATGGCTGATCCTCAGTCCTACCCTATGAGGCCCCGTGTCTCAGTGTCCTGGTAATTGCTGCAAGCACCTCTGAGAGAAAGCCGCCCTCGAGTTCCGACCCATGCCAGACAGTCCAGTTTCTCCCTGTATGAGTCTGGGTCCCCAGAGACTCACCCGGAACTGGAGTTCAGAGCAGTCGGGAGCTTGATACTCCCTCCTGATTGAAAAAGACAACTGTGTCCTCAGTTGCCAGCCCTTTCCACATGCGCCTCCATACCTCTGCACTTTACTTCCGCAGCTCCTCTGAGTCTCAGTGTGCTTTTCTCTTTCCTTCTAGTTGTAGAATTTTCACTCAGCCAGCCTTCCTGTGGTTCTGGATGATGTCCGTTTTGTCTTTTAGTTATATTTTTGAAGTGGTTG